CGTACCACTACCACCTCTTTAACATCTCCCGCCAATTCTGCCACCATAACTACACCACCACCACCGCTTTTAACAATTGCTGTAAAGCGCCTTCGAATAAGGCGCTTTATACATCTATACAAGTTAATTCAACACTTTCTATCAATTATATCACAACCAACTATCCTTTTAGCCTATGTATACAAAGCATCAGGCACTCGTGTACAACTATGCTGGACGAGAGCCTCCGATATGCATTGAAAACTCCAAAAACTTTATTTTATCAAGTTCGGCCCACTGAGCTATGTAGCTCTTTTTCAGAAGCGACTTGGCCAGAAATGAAAGTTCAACGAAGTGGCTCATCACTTCGTTGAGGATCTGGAGAAAATCTTACGCGACCACGGGGAGAGACACGCGCAAAATCCAAATTTACGGCAGGCGTCAGGGTTGGGATGGATCCCACGACCTCCTGCGGACCTGGCGAGGTAGTTAACATCCCACCACCATGGCGCCTGCCATCTCGAAATTTACGTTACACGCACACGTCCCAGGACGACCAGCTGTTGGCCCACGGGGACGCGAGGGCCTCGCCGGAACTGCAGTTCATGCCATTGGCTTAAGGTGGCCACTGGTGGGAAATTCGTGCCGAAAACTCCCTTCTCGGTTGGGCCCTCGTGGGCCACCCCCTCCCCGTTCACCACGCGGACACTGGCATGCAGGAATCCATTTATTTTGCGTTTTAACAAAAATAACAAAAAAAGTTCAGTATTTTGTCGTAAATAAAACGTAATTACGGCCACACAAGACTCCAGGCGCTGCCGCGTTAAATCTCGAACGGTGGGCGTCCGGGCTGCAGTGATGTCCCCTGGGCGGAGACTTCCCAAGCGCGACCACAGCGGGCGAGGCACGCGAGCGGAGCGGTCAGCGTGGGATGTGGCGGGAGGGTTGGCGTGGGTGGACAGGGCTCATTTGATGCGACCCACCGGAATGAGCTGGCTTGGAATCACGGGCGGCGGCGTCTCCGTGCAGGAGACCGCAGTCGGTCGAGCCTCCCGCGTTGCACAGATGTCAAATCAACCGTGGGCCGTGGGGATTGTTCATCGTCACGCTGAGCGTCCCCCCCCCCCCCATCACACACGGATAGTGTGCGGGTTGAGTTACGAGCTCTTCGGCTGACGCTGGCCTTGTGCGATACGCGTGGCGCAAAAACCAAATGTACTAAATTGTAATGTTTTTTTGGTATATTTACCAATTACGATGCCTCGGGCCACACCTTTGCATTGTAGAGGAACGTGGGCGTCTGCGACGTTGTTACAGAGCCTTGGTGTTTCCCGACGGACGGACGGACGGGACGCAAAACACCGGCTCGTCACAAGGGCTCTGTCCATGGGTCAGAGTGGAAATTCGGTACTCGGTTCGAGGTGGCAAATATTGAGCCAACACCGGTTTGCGTGAACGGCTACGAATGAATGGGCGGAGTGGATTGTGCGACAGGACAATGAAAGAATGCAGTGGCGTAATTCACTTTCACACGACGACGATTGCAGTCGTGAGGACCGGGCCCCCCATTCGGTCCATCGAGTGCCTTTGGTTGCGGGGAAGCAGATCCGTTCTCAAACTACATCTATCCGAAAACGTTGGTACAACCTCAAGGTTAGCCATCTCGGGTGGCAGCACACCACCAAGTGAAATATTGGGTCTGCGCCCATGTGCCGACCAGTGGAAGAGAAGGTAAAGCAGTAATACTGGGGCGTCCAACCTCTGAATAATTTCCCCTTGGAACACGGTTTTGGTTTTGGTGCTGTGGGGGTGAACCCTCGAATCCGTGGGTAGGGGGGGGGGGGGTGGGGGAAATTTCTGTAAGTTGGCAGCAGTCGCTTAAAACAAGAATTCCTAACGCCACCACATTTAGATCTTCAAACGCTTTTTTCCCCCCGCCGATGTTTAGAGAGTATTTGGGCTGCTGTGAATTTCCACGCGGTAAGCCACTTCTTTGAGCTATCACGTGTGGCCAGGTCGCTTCTGAAAAACAGCTACATAGCTCAGTGGGCCTTACCTGGTAAAATAACATTTTGATTTTAATCCGGCTTAGTTAAATCCACGTTTAGCACCTGAAATGCTTTATTCTGTCATGCGTCACTTATTTGGTACCATGCACACGAGTGTCCATTAGACCCCGCCATAGGAACGTGGAATTTCCACCGCGGGGCTCACTGGCACCAATTACGATGGGCACTGGGTTTGATCTCGTTTGAGCACAGAGGGGCTCTGCGACAAGATTTCGCCCAAACGCCGAGTGAAGGGTCGGAGAACGGGGAACTGCTTGGCAGAGCCTGCGATGCTGTTGGTCGGAAGCTGGCAGAAAGCCCACCCAGTTGGTGAACCCTGGGCACCGCCTGAGCGTGTGGGAGAATTAATGCGACTCGATGCGACATGACGCAGGGAATCGTTTCGGGTACCTGGCGTGTTTGTGCACCGTCGCACCGCAGATTTCCCAGGGGATGTGATGCCCGAAGCGGTAACGCATCTCATCAGGGGGAGGGGGCAGGATAAATGTGCAATCATTTGTGCTCCGTTATGCAATTGGTGACTTGTCCAACTTATCCTTAACTTAACCCCAGCCCTAACAACCATAAATCTTACCGCAATCCTAACACTTAGCCAAAAAAAACTCTTTAAGGCTCATTACCCTTAACGTAATCTCTGGCAAGTCGCCTCAGTAAAACTAAAACCACACTCCCCCCCCCGCCCTCAGCCACATCAATATTCGTGAACATTGCTCTAACATGGCCCTAGCTCCACACTCGCTACAGCCATAGCCCAGGGCCGTCCATAGGGGGTGTGGGCCCCCCCCCCCTCCCCGACGCCTTCAAACTAAACCAGAAGTATTACATCCGACAGCGTCACGTTGCAGCGCAAGGTACCCCAAATTGCGAGGCCCGGGGGAGGTCGTCCCGATTCGCCGTACCCCAGGGACGGCTCCGGCCATAGCCCCAATCCTGATGGAAATCCCATTACCAAAGCCATCGAAAACCGAATCTGCTAACCATCGCCCACAATTATGAACTTGGCCACATTGTAACCTTGGTGGTTGACCATGGGTGGGTGGCCAAAAGGGGGTGGGGCATTTGGTAACACGGGGCCAAGAGTGTTCGCCTTGTCCCTGAGGGGGGGGGGGGGGATGACTACATCTTCAACTCACGCCATGCAATACAAACGCGGGCAACTCGCACGTGACGCCGGGGGGGAACCACGCCACACGAAGCCTAGTTGCGACGAGTTAATGGCCATGTACGCGAAGCTCCGGGAAAAAAAAACGGCCCCTGCTTGTTCACGCGTCGGAAGGGCCGCGAGGCTACAGGGCCCCGCGGGAGATTCGTGACCGCTACGCTCGGGACAACGCGAAGTTCCCGAGGGCACCGCGGGAACTGGAGGTTTGTTCATCCATCAGCGCCACCACCACCACCGCCACCTGGGCAGCTTTCGGCTTCACAGCTCTCAACTCTGCACGTTGCAGTGGCAGCGAAGCGCGCAGGCAATTTGCAAACCGGTTTCATCGCAATTGGGGATCGTCGGTACAGCTGCAATACCTCGCGATAACAATAAAAAAAAACTTGTAACGCGTTGCGCAGTTGTTCGCTCGCTCTCGACGAGTGAGAGACGGAATGACTTCGGAGGCGTGAGGAGGGATCGCAGGCAAGCGGAAAAGCCAAGGGAGCCTACAAGGTAAAAAATAAAACGACAAAAATCACGACGTTTCGGCCACAACACAAGTGGCCTTCTTCAGGTGAAGGAACAGAACTATCGGGACGACAGCGCTTCAATGACCGCTGCTTAAGATTCGCAGCGGCTTTTTAAGCTCGGTGGGAGGAGCAGGGCGCCCTTGACAAAGGAGTTTATCTTCTTTGGTTCTTTCGGTAAAGTCACGTAGAATGAGAATAAAATAATAAATTGATAAAATAAAATAATAATATTCTCACAAGTGAGAATATTATTCTCACAAGTGAGAATATTGCGTAATTTTATTTTATCAATCTATTATTTTATTCTCATTCTACGTGACTTTACCGAAAGAACCAAAGAAGATGAATCCTTGCAGTCACGAAAGCTTTAAATCGAAAGGAGTTTACATATCAAAAATAGCTGTGTTAAAGTGTTGAAACAGCAGGGTGTTAAAGTCAGAAAATTAGCTGGGGGATTAGCATGTTTTTGTGTAGAGGGTGTGGAGGATGGGTCACTGTGTGTGCAATAGAAACGGAAAAAAAAATAAAGATCGGCAAGAATGTGCTGTCAGGGGAGAGTAGAAAAAATGGTTTAATAGAAAGTTCGGAAGGAATATGCTTGGTATACCATTACTTGAAATTGCTGTTAGAAATTAGTTGACGTTTGGTATCATTTAAAACGTCTTTCGAATTCATCTGCTGTGACTGATCATTGTTACAACGCTACGGGTGATCATGAGATTGTCTTCTCCGATACCAAGGTTCTCTGTAAACCTACAGGTTATCACCAGAGATTTGTCCACGAAGCCATTCAGATATACAAACACAGACATAACTTCAACCGAGAGGATGGTTTCAAATTAAGCAACCATTGGAAAGACGTTTTAAATCATACCAAACGTCAACTAATTTCTAACAGCAATTTCAAGTAATGGTATACCAAGCATATTCCTTCCGAACTTTCTATTAAACCATTTTTTCTACTCTCCCCTGACAGCACATTCTTGCCAATCTTCAATTTTTTCCGTTTCTATTGCACACACACAGTGACCCATCCTCCGCACCCCCTACACAAAAACATGCTGATCCCCCAGCTAATTTTCTGACTTTAACACCCTGCTGTTTCAACACTTTAACACAGCTATTTCTGATATGTAAACTCCTTTGTCAAGGGCGCCCTGCTCCTCCCACCGAGCTTAAAACGACGCTGGGAATCTTAGCAGCGGTCATTGAAGCGCTGTCGTTCCGACAGTTCTGTTCCTTCACCTGAAGAAGGCCACTTGTGTTGTGGCCAAAACGTCGTGATTTTTGTTTTATGTTTTACCTACGTGCCTTTACCGAATAGAACCAAAGAGTATATGGATCCTTGCAGTCACGAAAGCTTCAAATCTAGAAGAGCCTACAAGCTCGGCATCGCACGCACAAACAAGCATGGGGTGGGCACTCATCCCGATCGGCAGCGGTGGAAATTCCACAAATCTATCGCGGGGGGCCAGTCTGTCCGTCGGGTGACGACTGCCGACTTCCCACAAAGCGGTACCCGATTTATAAACCGCAACAGGGAATCGAACTTGGAACTTTCATATTGGACGGCAGGTGCCGTCGAAGCATCACCAAGACAAACATTCCTGCAAACGTAGGGCTGCGTGGGCGGTGCACGCCTCTTAGAGGTGGTGGACGCTCCAAACACGTAGCGGGGTACGAGATGCCGGATTCGATGGCAGTGTGCTGCGGCGAGCGGGCTAGTGGGTGAGCGGGTAAGTGGGCTAGCGGGCGATAGTGGGCGAGTGGCCAAACACTCCCAAGCAGGATGACTCCCGAGAAATCGAGGTGCAGCAAGCGGCAAGCAGCAAGCAGCAGTAAGGCTTCACTGGCTAAACAAAGGACGCGACTCTCACGAGCACGTATCAACAAGAATTGGCACAGCCTAAACGTCGGCAGCATTTCTCGTCCTCCTCGCGCGCCCACTGACGTTGCCCGTTGGTCCCGGCGTCCCGAGTGTTTACCGCTCCAGCAACAACAACGCCACTGCCGCGGCCGGGCGGTCGGTGGCGCGGGGAGACCGCCGGCTGAGCGGCCGTTTGTGCGCGTGCAGCCGTCGCCTACTTCGAGGGGCTACACTTCCTCGCTCGCTCGCTCGCGATAGTGTGGTTATTGCACGAGCGATTGACACGAGACCCCACCCCACCCCGCCCCGCCCGGCTAAGGCGTGGAGACACCGCGCCGTTGAGCGGACGCTGCTGCCCCCCCGCGGCACGACCGGAGCCGCTTTTTGCCGAAAATACAAAAATGGGTAAAAGGACCCCGGAGAGTTCGTAAAAAAAAAACAATGGCTGCCTCGAAGCCACTTGTAAACTCAAGCCCTCCCCCGCAAACCTCACTGCCGAAATAATTACGAAAAAAAAAACAGTCCCCGTCAGCGCCGGCGGCGTCTCGCGGTAATTAAATAAACACAAATCGTTCCTTCAGCCGCAGGCGCCCACAACCCCGTCCGTCCCAGCGAGTCGCAGTGCAGTCTCCGCCTGCACCATGCTCGTCTGATACTTCACGTCTCCCGTCTTCCGTTCCTCTCTGCGTCCCATCTCCCCGTCCCTTTCTGCGTCCAGTCTATGTCCCGTCGATCCGTCCCGTCTCTCGTCCCGTCTCCCCCTTCTGTTCCCCCGTCCCCCGTCCCGTCCGGTGCCTCCAGTCCCGTTCCCACATCCAGCGGAATCTTCTCACAACGTCTGCCGCTCGCAGTTTTAATGAGCCGATCCGCGCACGCGCCCCGCACACCCGTCACGGCACCGCAAACGAATTTTCCGAGCACCGCGCGCGTGCGAGTGTCGGGGTCCCGAGGAAGGTGCCAACGGGTGCAGGTGCGCTGTCGGCGTGCGCAACCGCTCCCCGCGTGTCCGTCACAGCTGAGGTAGTTTCTCCACGGGGGTGTCGAACTTGAAGTCCTGCGGAAAGAGCTGCGACGCCTTGGGGTAGATGAGCCGGTACGACTGGCGGATCGTCACGTCTGCCACGCCGGCGATGTCGCCGATCTCTACACGCGGGCACGCACGCACGCACGCACCCATCCTCCGCTTAGCCTTCCGTTTGACACCAAGCGACGACGTCGACGCGGCGAATGTGCCGGGCTAGGTGCACTTAAGAGGTCCGTTGGTCATGGGATAGACCAGGGTGTTCCGGGTTAAGTGACCGAGGATGGCTGGCTAGTGCACACGGCCTGTTGCTCGCACACCCAGTGCCGCATCGCCAACGTATTTCGGAACACCGCATTCGTGATTAAACGTGTTCGCACACACACACACACGAACCATGAACACGCACACACAAACACACACTGAACAAACATTTATGCACACGCACACTTGTGTTGAGGCAGAGCGCGGACACAAAGACAAAGATCCCCCGTATAGCCTGTAACAGACTGCAGGGGCAAGTGCTGTTAGCGAGCACCTATGAAGGCCGGAACGGTACACGAGGGGGTGGGTGGCCAGCACAACGCCCGACCGCCTTTGTCTCCCCAGTGGCGATGTTTACACACCGCACCAGGTACTCATTTGAGGCTGAGTCGACCTAGGGGAGGCCCGGGACCGGTTCAGATAATCGTCACTGGTGTTGGCCGTGAGCGGGAATCGAACCCGGGTCGCCAGGTTCATAGCGCAGCGTAGCGCTAACCGCTACACTATCACACACACACGCACACACACGCACACACACGCACGTGCCAAGGTCCCCGGACTGTGTCGAGCGGCGCCTCGCAAACGCGAGTCCTCACTCTCCGCCGCGGCACGCATTTCGCCGTTTAGCAATCATCAGAACCGCGTGCGAAGCGCGATTGGTTTTGGCTAAATGTGCCGCGCACAATACGGTCGACGGTAACACACGCGCACACAACAATGACAAAGATCCCCCCCCCCGTATAGCCTTAACAAACTGTTGGGGCAAGTGCTGTGAGGACCTACAGTGAGGGAAAAAAAGTATTTGATCCCCTGCTGATTTTGTGTACGTTTGCCCACTGACAAAGAAATGATCAGTCTAGAATTTTAATGCTAGGTTTATTTGAACAGTGAGAGACAGAGTAACAACAAAAAAATCCAGAAAAACGCATGTCAAAAATGTTATAAATTGATTTGCATTTTAATGAGGGAAATAAGTATTTGACCCCCTCTCAATCAGAAAGATTTCTGGCTCCCAGGTGTCTTTTATACAGGTAACGAGCTGAGATTAGGAGCACACTCTTAAAGGGAGTGCTCCTAATCTCAGCTCGTTACCTGTATAAAAGACACCTGTCCACAGAAGCAATCAATCAATCAGATTCCAAACTCTCCACCATGGGCCAAGACCACAGAGCTCTCCAAGGGTGTCAGGGACAAGATCGTAGACCTACACAAGGCTGGAATGGGCCACAAGACCATTGCCAAGCAGCTTCTTGGTGAGAAGGTGCGAGTGCACCCATAGCCCCCCCCCCACCGCCCTCCCTCCCTGGGCGCTCCGCTTGCTCGCCCCCCGCGTGACGATGCGTCGCGAGACACTCCCGGCTTCACCGCTTCCTCCCACCCCCCACCAACCACGTGACGGACGTCGCCTAAAATAGCCGCACCCCCCTCGCTGATTAACAATCGCCTCTCTCCCAAGGTGAAACGGAGCCGCCGGCGCAAAACCGATGGACCGTGCCGGCGACGCGGGGCAGCCGCACCCCGCGTCGCCGGCGGTGCCACCGGCGGCGTTGCCGGCGGTGCCACCGGCGGCGGCGGCGGCGGTGCCGTCCGTGCGGTGGTACGGGGGACGAGCGCCCCCGGGGCAACGGCTGCCTGCGGGCTCCGTCTCGGGATCCATGCGAGGAGAAGGCGAGCAAGTTTCAGTCGGGGCAGCATTGCCGCAACATCGGCAAAGGCGAGTCAATAAATTACCAAATCGGGTTCACGCTCGCAGTTTTAGCTTCATGCCCGAATTGTCTTTTACTATTTAAAGATTACCGATTGGGCCCGTGACCGGTCGCGTCAGGAGGCAAAGCGAGCAATCCCATCTCTCGCAGAGCAGTGCAGCCCTCTATGTTCGAGAAAGGCCAGTGGCAGTGGATATCACAGAGGCACCCACCAAGAAAGATGAATGTATGTATGTAGCCAACCGTGCTAATCCGAGGCGTGGGGGAGGGAAGGACAACCAACTAAACACGAAGAGCAGTTTGGAGGAAACAAGTTTTCAATTCAGATTTAAAAAATGCACAGCTCCAGCGGCTCCCTAATATCGGAAGAGAGCGTTCCAGACAGCCGCAGAAGCGCGTCTGAAAGCGCTCGATGCGGCGACCGTCTTCGCTCCAAGGTTAGCCCCAACATAGAGTGACCTCTGGCCCACTGCTTAAGGGGCGGCAGTTCCCCCCGCCTCGCGCTCTGCCACCGTGAGCGAAATGCGTGCCCGCGGCTGGAAATTCAGCCAGATTGAGTGCACGACGAAAATTTTACGGGCTACAGGCTAACATTTTACGGGCTACAGACTAACATTTTACGGGCTACAGACTAACATTTTACGGGCTACAGACCAACATTTTACGAGCTACAGACTAACATTTTACGGGCTACAGACTAACATTTTACGGGCTACAGACTAACATTTTACGGGCTACAGACTAACATTTTACGGGCTACAGACTAACATTTTACGAGCTACGGTCGTGCCCGCAGTCACCGGTGACAAAACCGAGGCCATCAACTCGGAACCCAGATTAAATCACAGCATCATCTCAGTGGCTCCGGCTCACCGCCCTGTCTGAACTCTGTGCCACCACCCTCCCCCCCCATGCTAATCGTCTTGACGAACGTTGGGGCCATCGCTGGTGCCCCTCTGGACTGACAGGGCGGTGGGGGTGAGGGCAATGCCCACGCATCTCTCGGGAAGCCACCCCCCCTCCCCCCCCCGCAACCTCACCATGCAACCTCTCAGACGGACTCAACGCATTCGTTAAAAATGCCGTGGCTACTTACAGGAAATGTGTACGGTGAGTGACGTTTCAGGCAATGGCCCTTCTTAAGAGCACGTAAGCGCAGCGTTGTTGACGAGTGTGTCGCATTTTGACATTGCTTATATTCCACGCACTGCTGCCCGCTTGGCAAGCAGCATCACCAAGTAATTAATCGATGCCCTCAAATCGTTACGATTCAGGGCTGCCCTTAAATTTAAGAATCGACATCCGTCCATTCTCAAATGTTGCCGCGTGGATCCTCTCGGACGTGTTGACGAAGCAGCACCAAGGTGGCGAGATGTTTAATACCTCGCATTGCATGCAAGAGGTCGCGGGTTCAATTGCAATCCCAACACCTGCTGTATATTTGGAGTTTGCGTGTCTCTCTCCCCGCGGTAGCATGGATTTTTCTCCGGCTCCTCCGCTTTTTACCTCCACATTTAGAATCGCCATGCGTTCATGGAGTATTTGGCTGCTATACATTTCCATGAGGCAAACTACTTCGTTGAGCTATCAATTGTGGCCAGATCACTTCTGAAAAAGAGCTATATTTACCTTATCTGGTAAAATAAAAAAACTGTTTATACACTCATATACATGAAAGCGAAGCTCGCACGAACGCTGTCCGACGCACCCATTGGAAGCCCAAGAGTCGGTTTTCACCGGTGAATTGGCATGTGGCTACGCGACGCCTCTCGGCTCTGGGGTAACGGTTGCCGGGCACCCCGCCGCCCCCTAACGCCATCCTTCAGAGACACCGGAAGCTGTCAGGCGCCGTCTTGTCCCAGCGGAGCTGCCTTCGCTACCGCCACAGATTGACTAACACAGTGGGTGAGCGACTACCGCTGTGGGTGAGTGACTACCACAGTGGGTGAATGACTACTATAGAGGGTGAGTGGCTATTACAGTGGGTGAGTGACTACCACAGTGGGTGAGTGACTACTACAGAGGTGAGTGGCTATTACAGTGGGTGAGTGACTACTACAGTGGGTGAGTGACTACTATAGAGGGTGAGTGGCTATTACAGTGGGTGAGTGGCTATTACAGTGGGTGAGTGACTACTACAGTGGGTGAGTGACTACTACAGTGGGTGAGTGACTACCACAGTGGGTTAATGACTACCACAGTGGGTGAGTGACTACCACAGTGGGTGAGTGACTACCACAGTGGGTGAGTGACTACCACAGTGGGTGAATGACTACCACAGTGGGTGAGTGACTACTACAGTGGGTGAACGACTACCACAGTGGGTGAGTGACTACCACAGTGGGTGAGTGACTACCACAGTGGGTTAATGACTACTACAGTGGGTGAGTGACTACCACAGTGGGTGAGTGACTACCACAGTGGGTTAATGACTACCACAGTGGGTGAGTGACTAACACAGTGGGTGAGTGACTACCACAGTGGGTGAGTGACTACCACAGTGGGTGAATGACTACCACAGTGGGTGAGTGACTACCACAGTGGGTGAATGACTACCACAGTGGGTGAGTGACTACTACAGAGGGTGAGTGACTACCACAGTGGGTGAGTGACTACCACAGTAGGTGAATGACTATCACAGTAGGTGAATGACTACCACAGTGGGTGAGTGACTACCACAGTAGGTGAATGACTACTACAGTGGGTGAGTGGCTACCACAGTGGGTGAGTGACTACCACAGTGGGTGACTACTACAGAGGGTGAGTGACTACCACAGTGGGTGAGTGACTACCACAGTAGGTGAATGACTATCACAGTAGGTGAATGACTAACACAGTGGGTGAGTGACTACCACAGTGGATGACTACCACAGTGGGTGAACGACTACTACAGAGGGTGAGTGACTACCAAAGTGGGTGAGTGACTACCACAGTGGGTGAGTGACTATCACAGTAGGTGAATGACTATCACAGTAGGTGAATGACTACCAGTGGGTGACTACTACAGAGGGTGAGTGGCTACCACAGTGGGTCAATGCCTACCACAGTGGGTGAATGACTACCACAGTGGGTGAATGACTACCACAGTGGGTGAATGACTACCACAGTGGGTGACTACCACAGTAGGTGAGTGACTACCACAGTGGGTGAACGACTACTACAGAGGGTGAACGACTACCACAGTGGGTGAGTGACTACCACAGTGGGTGAGTGACTACCACAGTGGGTTAATGACTACTACAGTGGGTGAGTGACTACCACAGTGGGTGAGTGGCTACCACAGTGGGTCAATGCCTACCACAGTGGGTGAGTGACTACTACAGTAGGTGAGTGGCTACCACAGTGGGTGACTACCACAGTAGGTGAATGACTACCACAGTGGGTGAATGACTACCACAGTGGATGAGTGACTACCACAGTGGATGACTACCACAGTAGGTGAATGACTACCACAGTGGGTGAGTGACTACCACAGTAGGTGAGTGGCTACCACAGTGGGTGACTACCACAGTAGGTGAATGACTACCACAGTGGGTGACTACCACAGTAGGTGAATTACTAACACAGTGGGTGACTACCACAGTGGGTGACTACCACAGTGGGTGAGTGACTACCACAGTGGGTGACCACCACTGTGGGTGACTACCACAGTAGGTGAGTGACTACCACAGTGGGTGACTACTACAGTGGGTGGGTGACTACCACAGTGGGTGACTACCACAGTAGGTGAATGACTACCACAGTGGGTGACTACCACAGTGGGTGACTACCACAGTGGGTGACTACCACAGTGGGTGAATGACTACCACAGTGGGTGAGTGACTACCACAGTGGGTGAATGACTACCACAGTGGGTGACTACCACAGTGGGTGACTACCACAGTGGGTGAATGACTACCACAGTGGGTGACTACCACAGTGAGTGACTACCACAGAAGGTGAGTGACTACCACAGTAGGTGAATGACTATCACAGTAGGTGAATGACTACCACAGTGGGTGAGTGACTACCACAGTGGGTGAGTGACTACCACAGTGGGTGAGTGACTACCACAGTAGGTGAATGACTACCACAGTAGGTGAGTGACTACTACAGTGGGTGAGTGACTACCACAGTGGGTGAGTGACTACCACAGTGGGTGACTACTACAGAGGGTGAGTGACTACCACAGTGGGTGAGTGACTACCACAGTGGGTGAGTGACTACCACAGTAGGTGAATGACTAACACAGTGGGTGAGTGACTACCACAGTGGATGACTACCACAGTGGGTGACTACTACAGAGGGTGAGTGACTACCAAAGTGGGCGAGTGACTACCACAGTGGGTCAATGACTACCACAGTGGGTGACTACCACAGTGGGTGAGTGACTACCACAGTGGGTCAATGACTACCACAGTGGGTCAATGACTACCACAGTGGGTGAATGACTACTACAGTGGGTGACTACTACAGAGGGTGAGTGACTACCACAGTGGGTCAATGACTACCACAGTGGGTGAGTGACTACTACAGTAGGTGAGTGGCTACCACAGTGGGTGACTACCACAGTGGGTGAATGACTACCACAGTGGGTGACTACCACAGTAGATGAATTACTAACACAGTGGGTGACTACCACAGTGGGTGAGTGACTACCACAGTGGGTGAGTGACTACCACAGTGGGTGACCACCACAGTGGGTGACTACTACAGTGGGTGGGTGACTACCACAGTGGGTGACTTCCACAGTGGATGAATGACTACCACAGTGGGTGACTACCACAGTGGGTGACTACCACAGTGGGTGAGTGACTACCACAGTGGGTGACTACCACAGTGGGTGACTACCACAGTGGGTGACTACCACAGTAGGTGAGTGGCTACCACAGTGGGTGACTACCACAGTGGGTGACTACCACAGTGGGTGAATGACTACCACAGTGGGTGACTACCACAGTGGGTGAGTGGCTACCACAGTGGGTGCTCCTCAACTGGTTCCTGCGATAGCAGCTGCCCTGCTGCGGTTGGCCCGTTCACACGAAGGCAGATCGACACCAACCGGGCTCGACAGCGGTTTCTGACTGAACATACGGGAGTCGCTCATGGGAGGGGGGGGGGGTAACCTATCAAGGGCAGCCACCCCGGCTTTGTGGAGCTTCAGGGCACAGTGGGGGTATCTCCTCTAACACCCCATGGGTTTTCTCTGGGATCTCCACCCTCAGGTGCGGCGGCGGCGGTGGCGGCGTTGACGGCACATGCCCGTAACCCAGCACTGAGGGGGGAGAGGTGAAGTATGACAAATAAACCCCGATGGATACAGCGTGGGCGCCACGGTGGAGAGATGTTGACTCCCTCGCCTGGTATACAGGAGGTTGTTGGTTCGATAGCCGACTCTGACACCTGTATATTTGGAGTTTGCACGTATGTCTCTCCCCCCCCCCCCCCGTTGTCGAGTGGATTTTTCTCCGGGTCCTCTGGTTTTCCCCTACACATTTAGAATCAGCATCACGCGTGTAGAGTATTTGGCTGCAATACACATTCTCCACGTGATAAGCCGCATTGTTGAGCTATAATTTGTGGCCAGGTCGCTTCCGAAAAAGAGCTACGTAGCTCGGTGGGCCTTACCTGGCAAAATAAAAAAAATAGTTTAGTTTTATTATTGTTACGTATTGATTGTTCTTTCAAGTTAAATTTGCGTAACCAGGTGAGAAGCCAAGAGACCAGGATGTGTCTCATTTGCAAGAGTGACCTGGGACGCCCGTCCGCCAGCAGGGGGCGATGATCGCCGCTGCGCGTTTGTGATCCAAATTGACCAATTTGCTGTGTCGTTTCTCGAATGTGGACCGTGACGCTGGCAGGTAATGGCCTGCTCTTGCGAATGGCGTTGCGGGTTCTCTTGACGTTCGCTGCGAAGGAGGCTACGTGTAAATCCTGACTTAAAAGCTTTCGTGCGTGCAGGAATTCATACCCTTTGGGTCATTCGGTAACGTCGCGTGGATAGGTTCGAAGAAAATAGCAAACAAACGAAAAAAAACGTACGACGTTTCGATCGCAAACGCAAGCGGTCGTCATCAGGCTTTTTTCAGCGATCCGAACGTCGTGCGTTTTTATTTCGTTTGTTATTTTCTTTGAACCTACCTACGCGGCTTTATCCGGAAGACCCAAAAAAGAGACGGCGTGTGTTTTGCAGGAATAACCAGGGCGGCTGCTGGATTCGAACCGCGAAACAAGCGATGAACGTTCCACCGGTGGCGCCACGTCACCACGCTACTTTCCGCGGGTAAGAGGTTTTCATCACCACCCTGCAACTTCTCCGCAGCATCTAGACTAGGGGAGTCGGCAACCAAAAATAACGAGGGGAGCCATTTTTGTTGAATTCGGTGTAAAAAAAAGAAAACTTTCGAGAGCCGTAACACCATGTAAATATCGGATGGCGAGCTCTTAATAAATAATGTCACAAAGCAGTCCCTTAAAGAGCTGCATGCTACTCCAAGGCTGCAGGTTGCTGACTCCTGCCCATGGTCAACTGGACTCCCATGGTAAAATGGACTGCTATGGTAAAATGGACTGCTATGGTAAAATGGACTGCCATGATAAACTGGACTCCCATGGTAAACTGGACTGCCATGGTTAGCTGGACTTCCATGGTCAGGGGTCGGTGAAAAAAAATCAACGTTTTAAGAGCCGCAACGCATTTAAATGCGAGATGGTGAGCCCCTTAATAAACAACGTCACGAAGCAGCGAGATGGTGAGCCCCTTAATAAACAACGTCACGAAGCAGCGAGATGGTGAGCGCCTTTAATAAACAACGTCACGAAGCAGCGAGATGGTGAGCCCCTTAATAAACAACGTCACAAAGCAGCGAGATGGTGAACCCCTTAATAAACGTCACGAACCAGCGAGATGGTGAGCCCCTTAATAAACAACGTCACGAAGCAGCGAGATGGTGAGCCCCTTAATAAACAACGTCACAAAGCAGCGAGATGGTGAGCCCCTTAATAAACAACGTCACGAAGCAGCGACATGGTGAGCCCCTTAATAAATAACGTCACGAAGCAGCTAGATGGTGAGCCCCTTAAATAAACAACGTCACGAACCAGCGAGATGGTGAGCCCCTTTAATAAACAACGTCACGAAGCAGCGAGATGGTGAGCCCCTTTAATAAACAACGTCACGAAGCAGCCCTCAACAAGCCGAGCGCGGCTCTGGAGCTGCGAGTTTGCCGACCCCTGGCCTAGACTGATAAACAACAATCATTGACTTTCGAATCCACAAAGTCAATTTCTGTACGTGTTCGTGACCTTGGAACGGGACGTTGTGAACCAACGATCGCGGAGCAGGGGGGGGGGGGGGGGGGGGGGGGAGCGGCGAAACATCGCGCCTGGGGGTGACCGACTGCCCGCGGGAGGCTGCGCGGCGAGACCGGCACGTGCGTGGCCAGAACGAGACGGATCGTGGGAACGGAGGAGCGTGCAGCGTGATGGGTGGGTGGGATGGGGGGGGATGGTAGAGAGAGGGTGGCGGCGTGCTACCTTTTTGCGTGCGCTTGTCGGCAGACGCCTGCGAGGCCATGTAGATGGCGGCGGCGGCCACGGAGATCGGGCTCCGCCCGGGAACCAGGTCCAGCTCCACGGCGCGGCGCGCGATGTGCGTGGCCGCAGCCTGGACGCACGCACACACGGTACACGCAAGGTACACGCAAGGTACACACACACGGTACACGCAAAGTACACGCAAGGTACACGCAAGGTACACGCGTACACACACACACACGGTACACGCAAGGTACACGCACACACACACATGGTACACACAAGGTACACGCACACACACACATGGTACACGCAAGGTACACGCACACACACACACGGTACACGCAAGGTACACGCACACACACACACACGGTACACGCAAGGTACTACGCACACACACACATGGTACACACAAGGTACACGCAGGGTACACGCAAGGTACACACACACACACGGTACACGCAAGGTACACACACACACACGGTACACGCAAGGTACATGCAAGGTACACACACGGTACACGCAAGGTACACGCAAGGTACACACACGGTACACGCAAGGTACACACAAGGTACACGCAAGGTACACGCGTACACACACACACACGGTACACGCAAGGTACACGCACACACACACATGGTACATGCAAGGTACACGCAGGGTACACGCAAGGTACACACACACACACACGGTACACGCAAGGTACACGCACACACACACACGGTACACGCAAGGTACACACACGGTACACGCAAGGTACACACACACACACGGTACAAGCAAAGTACACACACACACACACGGTACACGCAAGGTACACACACACACGGTACACGCAAGGTACACACACACGGTACACGCAAGGTACACACACACACACGGTACACGCAAGGTACACGCAAGGTACACGCGTACACACACACACGGTACACGCAAGGTACACACGCACATTGTACACACACGCATGGTACACGCACGGTGCACGCACATTTTGTACACAAGGTACAAGACAAAGATCCCCCGTGTAGCTTTAACAGACTGTAGGGGCAAGTGCTGTTAGCGAGCACCTATGAAGGCCGGAACGGTACACGAGGGGGTGGGTGGCCGGCACCACACCCGACCGCCTTTGTCTCCCCAGTGGCAATGTTTACACACTGCACCAGGTACTCATTTGAGGCCGAGTCGACCTAGGGGAGGCCCGGGACCGGTTCAGATAATTGTCACTGGTGTTGGCCGTGAACGGGAACCGAACCCGGGTCGCCAGGTTCATAGCGCAGCGCGCTAACCGCTACACTATCGCTCCCCATTGTACACACGGTACACGCACGTACGCACACACACGGTACATGCTCACACACGGTATACATGCAAACATGCACAGACCCCCCTTATAGCCTTAACAGACTGTTGGCGCAAGTGCTGTTGGCGAGCACCTATGAAGGCCAGAATGGCACACGAGGGGGTAGGTGGCCAACACCACGCCCATCCGCCTTTGTCTCCCCCATGACGATGTTTACACACCGTACCAGGTACTCATTTGAGTGAAACTCGGGGACGCCCAAGACCGGTTCAGATAATCGTCACTGGTGTTGGCCGTGAGCGGGAATCAAACTCGTGTTGCCAGGTTTGTAGTGCAGCGTAGCACTAACAGCTACACTACCGCTCCCCAACCTCAACTGACACACACACACACACGAGGACAAACCTGCACAGCCTTGGGGAGACCGAGGTTGGAGCAGAACCTGGACATGAAGTCCCCGGTGGTGATGAGGTCCACGCTGGTCTCCAGCGCCTTCAGGATGAGCTTGAAGCAGCGGCCGATCTCCTTCTTGGAGATGCGCGACACGGCGCAGATCTCTGCAATGCGCGACGGCGGTGACACGCAGCGGCGATCAGCAGCAGCAGCAGCACCGAGACCGCGAAGCAACGGTCCCGATTGTGGACGCTGCACGAGGGGGAGGGGAGACCCCTGACTATGGGGGCAGCAGCGACGGCGGCGGGGAAGCAGAGCCCAGCCATTCAGTGCCGGATTCAGCGAGTCCGGGGCCTGTAGCATGTTATAAAGGGGTCCTAAATTACAAAAAACACAAATGTTTTACTTGCATGGTAAAGTATTTTTTTCATTTGCTATACAGCCAGATAATACGACAAATCGCTAACCTTGAACACCCAGTCGTTCATAAAAGTTGAAGGCGGTATAGTACTATAGTAATAGAGCCAGTGCAGAATCACTGAACCGGAATTGATAGCTTGAAAGCATTTAGCGCGGGCCCCTTGAAAGTGCGGGGCCCGTAGCTACTACTACTACATATGTAGTAGTAGCTACTACTACTACTACATATGTAGTAGTAGTAGTAGCTACTACATATGTAGTAGTAGTAGCTACTACTACTACATATGTAGTAGTAGTAGCTACTACTACTATACATGTAGTAGTACAGTGGTTCTTAACCTTGTTGGAGGTACCGAACCCCACCAGTTTCATATGCGCATTCACCGAACCCCTCTTTAGTGAAAAATAAAATGTGATTTTTTTCAAATTCAAGACGTAGATATGTTTTTTACTGGTACACAAAATGAGCCGTGCATGAACATTACCTTGTTCAAAGAATAAAACCAACACAATGCATAAACTCACAACAAATTACATACCTGGAAATCAATGTGACTTCTGCTGTTGCCTTTGAGAGATCAGTTCAGATATGCGTGGCTTCACCTTGGCAAGTGCCACTCTCATGTCATTTTCACAGCAAAGTCTGTTCCTTTTCTTCGTTTTTATGTCCAGCATCCTCGAAAAGGATTGCTCACAAAGATATGTTGTAACAAATGGTATTAAAAAATCCAGGGCTTTCTTAGCAATAACTGGATACTTGTTCATTTGTCGACACCAAAACGTTGAGAGCGTTGTTGTTCTGAAGAGTTGCTGTTGAACCTGGCTCTGCTGAATTTCAATGATTTTGTCGAGGAATTCATCATTGACATCTGCTGTTTCAACAGCAAACGTGAACGGCTGTCTCACCCATGCTGGATATGACTCTCTTGTAGGGAAATATCCGTCGAGAGACTTTGCAAGCTCATCTAAGTGCGTGGCAATTGTTTGCTTCAGTTCCGTGGATACAGAAATATCTCCGATTCCAGACACATCTTCGATCTTACTTGCACAGTCGTCCAGAAGCGGGAAGTTTGCGAAGTTATTGTTCTCTGTTCGTCGTTTCCATAACGGTAGCTTTTTTTGAAAAGCCTTCAGGTGTTCTTCCGCTTCCATGATATTGACTCCACCACCCTGCATCTGCTGATTGAGATGATTGAGAGCTGCGAATATATCAGCCATGTATGCTAAAATGAGAATGAACTCAGGATTTTTGAAGCAATCTGCATGGCAGTGTTGGTGCTCTTGCAAAAACAGGGCTAATTCCACACGCATGGCAAAAACACGATTCAGCACCTGTCCCCGGGATAACCACCGAATATTAGAATGGAGCAGAAGTACCTCAAATTCAGAGCCCATTTCTTTACACAGCTCACTGAAGATGCGGTGCCTCAGAGCACTTTTTCGCACATAGTTCACACATTCCACCACAGTTTTTAATACTTCTGCCATTTTTGGAGGTAAGGTTTTTGTTGCCAACGCATGCCTGTGCAGAATACAATGCGTCACAATGATGTGTGGTGCATCGGCCTTTACTAGCGCACCAAAACCAGACTTTCTTCCCAGCATGACTGGAGCTCCGTCCGTACAAACTGCAGAAACCATATCCCATGAAAGATTGTTGTCTCTGAAGAAGTCATCCACAAGCTTCTTCACATCGGCTGCCTTCGTTGTTGTTGTAAGAGGCTTACAAAATAAAAACTCTTCTTTTATCATGTCGTCTTTCACATAGCGTACAAAAACAGCAAGCTGGCTTAGATCAGAAACGTCTGTGGTTTCGTCGAGTTGAAGGCTGAATTTTGCCGGGCTTGAAATCAGATCCGCGACTACTTGAGCCAAGATGTCTTTACTCATGTCGTCTATTCTGTCACTGACGATGTCATTTGAAAGGGGAATTTGGGATAATTTACCTTCGGCCGCTGTTCCGAGTATCAGATTCGCCATCTTTAATGCAGCTGGTTTCACAAGTGTTTCACCAATGGTGTGTGGCTTGCCCTGCTTTGCGATCAGGTAAGCAACTTCGTACGATGCTGTCAGGATCGGTTTGTTAACAGGTACAAATCCAAGAGCAGGCAGAGTGGCCCTTTCATCGAATCTGGCTCTCTTCACCCTGAATTCAGCAAGTGTTGTGTTCTTGTATTCCCCGTCTCCATGCAGCTTCAAGAAGTGTTCCTTTAGTTTTGCCGGTGCAAGACTAGAGTTGCTCAACTTGGCGTTGCAAATCATGCAGATAGGACGCTCACTCCCATCACGTTCCATGATACATGAGAATCCATGTTGTACATATTCGTCCGACCACTTTCTTCTTTTGCCCGACATAGTTAGTATGGATAAAATATTAAAGAAATCACACGACGTACGACAACAACAGTCACACGTTGACTACTGAGTACGCACTAAATTCCCCGCAGCGCTGATTGGCCAAGCAGTGTAGCATGATCATCTGCAGCCAGTGATGGCCAAGCGGGCCGTGTGTGTCATCACAAATTTACACAATAATTCAAGTGTGTCCGGACCTCCGTGGCGGGGGCTCTGCCGAACCCCTGAGATCGACTCACCGAACCCCTGGGGTTCGATCGAACCCAGGTTAAGAACCACTGTAGTAGTAGCTACTACTACACGTGTAGTAGTAGTAGCTACTACTACTACACGTGTAGTAGTAGTAGCTACTACTACTCATGTAGTAGTAGTAGCTACTACTACTCATGTAGTAGCAGTAGCTACTACTACTCATGTAGTAGCTACTACTACTCGTGTAGTAGCTACTACTACTACACGTGTAGTAGTAGTAGTAGTAGCTACATATGCTACCTTTGCTCCTAGGATAATCCGGCACTGCGGCCACTCAATGCTAAGTTGACTACGGGTTGTGACAAGAGGCCTCGATTGCTGCCGTGCGGCCCAAATCATAATTACGATTCCGTTTGTTTAGCCAGCCGAAGCCTCGCTGAGTCTCGAGACAATCTCTTCGCAGGAGGGTCCTGCCAAGTATTCGCCAGGAGTGGAACGCTGTGGTTGCTAGGCATAACTCCAACGGGAGTCATTTGCGGTGCAATTTTTCAAATTTGAAGCAGAGTGGCCTGCTCTTGCGAAGGGCGTCAGGGGGATCTTCAACATCCACTACTGAAGTAGATGGCGTGGAGAATTTCTGCGGTTAACACAAGCCGCAGAGGTGACCAATATCGTGTTTTTGTATCGTTTGTTGTTGTAACGTTCCGACTCGCCCCAACTGGACGCCTGTGAAAAGGAGCTTTACAGCCCATCGGATTCCTCCAGTCTAAAGAAATATTCTCATTCTGATATGGGGCATTGAACAATTATAATTTCCAGCAGGCACTCAACCACTCTCATTCACAGAGAGTGTTAGAGCGGCTTAGGTGGAGGAGGGAAACCCAACCCGGCGTCTCGTGCCATCGGTTAGATCTCACGAGGCTTGCCAGGCCCATTGCAGGACGCACGCACGTCAGCACCTGTGGCTCGATTACAGCTATGACACGGCTAGGGCTGTGCAAGGCAGTGGGGGGGGGGAAAAAGAGGCCTCAGGGCGGAACCAGCAGGGCAAGGGTCTGTACGGCTTGGACACGAGCGGGGTCTTGGCGCGTGCGCGTGTGTGTGTGTGCATGCGCGTGTCAGGCGTGTGGGTGCTGGCCACCCACCCCCTCGTGTGCCATGCCAGCCTTCAAAGGTGCTCGCTAACAGCACTTGCTCCAAGTCTGTTTAGGCTAAAAGAAGGATCTCCGTCTTTGTTGGCGTGTGCGTGCGCGTGAGGGTGATTTACCCTTGAAGGTCCTCGGGACACCCTCTTGCCGGCAGGCGATGTAGAGGCAGGCCGAGGCGATGGCGTCGTTGCTGCGGCCCTTGAGGGACTTCTGCTCATACACTTGCTTGAACAAGTTGTTTGTGCGGTCCTGGTGGGGGGCACGCATACCGCATGCCGTGAGCAGCGTGCAGCACTCAGAGCAAGGAGCAACGTTCAGCGTTGAAGCGTGCGCATTACACACGCGTTTGAATACACGCGTACACACATGCGCATACACAGACAAAGATCCCTCCGTACAGCCTGTTAGGGCAAGCGCTGTTTGCAAGCATCTATGATGGCCGGAAAGGTACACGATGGGGTGGGTGACCAGAACCACGTCTGGCAGCCTCCATCTCCCCAATGCTGATTTTTTAGACCTAGTACCAGCGACTAATTTTAGGCTGGGTTGACCCAGGGGAGGGCCAGCACTGGTTCAAATAATGACCATTGATTTTATCCACGGCTGTTAATAGAACTCGGGCTGCCCGCATCATATTGTAGTGCGATAGCCACTACACTTCCACTACCCTGCACCAAAAAAAAACCAACAAAGATCCCCCCCGTATAGCCTTAAGAGACTCTGAGGCAAGCACATACACGCAGACAAGCAAAAAAAGAGAAATATCCCCCGTTAGCCTTAAAAGACTGTTGGGGTGAGTGCGCGCACACACACGTGGCACAGGATCACACGTGTGTGTGTGTGTGTGCAAGCGCGAATGCTCACCACGATGTTCCTGGGCAGGTTGATGCGGTCGGACATTGTGTTGATCTCACGAAAGGCCGTGAGCATGGCCCTGTCGGAGGAGCTGAGACTGCGGCGGTTCTGGTACTTGGCGTTGCCGAACTCGTCGAAACTCGCCGCCCCCGTGCCCTAGGAGGGCAACACGGAAAAACGTCGGTGTGGGCGAGAGGAGTCGAGGTGGATTTCGTTTAAACAGGTGAAGTCTCGTCATCAGCGAGCGTGAAGCCGGGTCACCAAATTGACAAAAGCAAAACAAATAATGTACAGCAACGATGCAAAAAGGCAGAAGGGTACACATCACTACTACTAGCACGGGCGTGAAGAGCTCACAGAAGTGTACACATCACTACTATTCACACGGCCGTGAAGAGCTCACAGAAGTGTACACATCACTACTACTAGCACGGCCGTGAAGAGCTCACAGAAGTGTATACATCACTACTACTAGCACGGGTGTGAAGAGCTCACAGAAGTGTACACATCACTACTACTAGCACACCGTGAAGAGCTCACAGAAGTGTACACATCACTACTATTCACACGGCCGTGAAGAGCTCACAGAAGTGTACACATCACTACTACTAGCACGGCCGTGAAGAGCTCACAGAAGTGTACACATCACTACTACTAGCACGGCCGTGAAGAGCTCACAGAAGTGTACACATCACTACTACTAGCACGGCCGTGAAGAGCTCACAGAAGTGTACACATCACTACTACGAGCACGGGTGTGAAGAGCTCACAGAAGTGTACACATCACTACTACTAGCACGGCCGTGAAGAGCTCACAGAAGTGTACACATCACTACTACTAGCACGGCCGTGAAGAGCTCACAGAAGTGTACACATCACTACTACTAGCACGGCCGTGAAGAGCTCACAGAAGTGTACACATCACTACTACGAGCACGGGTGTGAAGAGCTCACAGAAGTGTACACATCACTACTACTCGCACGGCCGTGAAGAGCTCACAGAAGTGTACACATCACTACTACTAGCACGGCCGTGAAGAGCTCACAGAAGTGTACACATCACTACTACTAGCACGGCCATGAAGAGCTTACAGAAGTGTACACATCACTACTACTCGCACGGCCGTGAAGAGCTCACAGAAGTGTACACATCACTACTACTAGCACGGCCGTGAAGAGCTCACAGAAGTGTACACATCACTACTACTAGCACGGCTGTGAAGAGCTCACAGAAGTGTACACATCACTACTACTAGCACGGGCGTGAAGAGCTCACAGAAGTGTACACATCACTACTACCAGCACGCCGTGAAGAGCTCACAGAAGTGTACGCATCACTACTACTAGCACGGGCGTGAAGAGCTCACAGAAGTGCACACATCACTACTACTAGCACGGGTGTGAAGAGTTCACAGAAGTGTACACATCACTACTACTAGCACGGGTGTGAAGAGCTCACAGAAGTGTACACATCACTACTATTTACGTGGGCGTGAAGAGCTCACAGAAGTGTACACATCACTACTACTAGCACGGCCGTGAAGAGCTCACAGAAGTGTACACATCACTACTACTAGCACACCGTGAAGAGCTCACAGAAGTGTACACATCACTACTACGAGCACGGGTGTGAAGAGCTCACAGAAGTGTACACATCACTACTACTAGCACGGCCGTGAAGAGCTCACAGAAGTGTACACATCACTACTACTAGCACGGCCGTGAAGAGCTCACAGAAGTGTACACATCACTACTACTAGCACGGCCGTGAAGAGCTCACAGAAGTGTACACATCACTACTACTAGCACGGCCGTGAAGAGCTCACAGAAGTGTACACATCACTACTACTAGCACGGCCGTGAAGAGTTCACAGAAGTGTACACATCACTACTACTAGCACGCCGTGAAGAGCTCACAGAAGTGTACACATCACTACTATTCACATGGGTGTGAAGAGCTCACAGAAGTGTACACATCACTACTACTAGCACGCCGTGAAGAGTTCACAGAAGTGTACACATCACTACTACTAGCACGGGTGTGAAGAGTTCACAGAACTGTACACATCACTACTACTAGCACGGGTGTGAAGAGCTCACAGAAGTGTACACATCACTACTACTAGCACGGGTGTGAAGAGCTCACAGAAGTGTACACATCACTACTACCAGCACGCCGTGAAGAGCTCACAGAAGTGTACACATCACTACTATTTACGTGGACGTGAAGAGCTCACAGAAGTGTACACATCACTACTACTAGCACGGATGTGTAGAGCTCACAGAAGTGTACACATCACTACTATTCACATGGTTGTGAAGAGCTCACAGAAGTGTACACATCACTACTATTCACATGGGCGTGAAGAGCTCACAGAAGGGTACGCATCACTCGTACGACAAATGGTGGGAGGTGCGCGCGGAAAGAATATTAAGGAAATTAAATTAATTCACTCACTCATCATCATCATGGGAATCCAGGAGGTTCAGCAGTATTCTACACCCACCGTGACACCATGTATGGTGTTCTAGAACCTAATCACGTCTGCAGAAATTGTCAATGTAAATATACCCAACATACACGTGGGCACGCGTACACGTGTACGACTCGGCACGGCGAGCATCCATCCCGAGGATCGCCCGCGCTCCGCCACGCTTGGGATCTGAGCGGCGCTTCAATGCGATGAAAACGGATCGCCGATCGTGCAGATATTAGCCAATCGAAAAAAAGGGGGGGGGGGTGGGCGTTTCACACGACGCTTATGCACTAACCAATGGGATTACTCGATCTATGGATCCCATACCAATGTATCGGACGCAGTGATTAACCCTCGCCGAATCGATACTCCAACAAGGCTGTCGGATCGACTATGAGCAGAATCGATCGATGCGATAGACACCTCGATTAATTATCCACAAGACCGTATATGGGCAGAGCCATGGCCCTATGGACAACGCTCCGCCCACACTTTCACATCATACTGGGGCAGATCGCCCACCTCGTAGGGCGTTCCATTTTTCTGCATCGGAATATTTATTTACACTGGCGGAATCCTACGAGCTATAAAAGCTCTTTTCCACCGACGTCCAGTAGAGGCGCGGGGTCAGAACGTTGCACCGCGCCCCCCCCCCCCCCCCCCCCCCCCCCCGGCAACGTCGTCACCTTGCTGATGAGCGTGGTGAGGTCGCTGCCGTTGAGCAGAGGGTTCTGCGCGTCGCCCACTCGCGACGGGTCCTTCGAGTTGGTGTCGTTGCTGAAGGTCCTCCACTCCGAGCCGACGTCCACCACGCGGTCGCCTGGGACACGGCGTGCATTACAGAGTCCACCGGGGCGGGGGCCGCGCCGCCAAGACACAATAGACACGCCGCACCACCACCGCCACCACCACAACAACAACGCGGGCGCTCTGCTGGTGGGGGGAGGAGGGGGGGGGATGTTTAAAAAAAAAAAATACGTGCAGTGCAATCGTCGCATATCTGACCATCATACGTCCGCGCCCCCCCAACCAACCAACTAACCGCCCACACACCCAGTGTGGTATCTACACTAAAACCAAACTAATTTTTTACTTTACCAGGTAAGGCCCACTGAGCTATATAGCTCTTGATCAGAAGCGACCTGGCCACAAATGATAGCTCAGCGAGGTGGCTTATCACGTGGACATTTAATAGCAGCCGAATACTCTAAAACGCAAGTGTGGAGGGTAAAACCGGAGGACGTGGAGAAAAATCCCAGCGACCACAGGGAAGACATGCAAACACCAAACATGCAGGCATCAGGGTCAGGATGAAACCCACGACCTCCTGTATACTCGGCGAGGTACGCGCCATTAATCCACAGGATCAGAGCAGACCTCGGTACCGCCTAAGGGAGCAAAACTTTCGTAGAACGGATGCATTTGCGTGGCTAATTACGAGCGCAGCTCACCGTTATTGGCTGTGCAGAGAAAATTACAACCCGCTAAAGTTTTTGCCACCTGGTGCGGTGGCAACCAGTGAAACGTCTGCTCTGCCATCGTGGACCGCGTGCCGCGGTCGCGAACACTACACTGCGCCCTGGGCTGTCCGACGCAAGCGTTTGAGGCTTTCACGACCAAGACAAACGAGAGCCCAGTTTCTGCACGGGGGGGGGGGGGGAAGTCTTTCTCGGCGCTCTGTGGTGACATGCGGCGCACCCTCTCGGGGGGGGGGGGGGGGGCTACAGACCGTACCCGGGCGTGCGCACGAGCCACCCCGCCGTTTGGAGGAGTCGTCACAATTCCGGGCCGCGAAATCGATTCAAGAATGGGCTCAGCTGCCCTCACCTGCCCTCCCCCTTGTTCTCGCTCGCACGGTTGTTTGTGTAGCGTCTGCCTCGTTGAGTTCCATCGCATCTGCTCCACCATGAGCCAGGCGGCATCGTTTTGCCGTTTAATTCGTATAACGCTTGCCGATGAGGGACTTGGTGAAAAAAAATCATTTAAATGTATAAAGTGCCCTTAAACAATCGTTCTCAGGGAAATTGAACCGATTGAGGGCTTTGCCCAAGACGCTAACAGTGGCCCCTGAAGGCCCATTTCAATCGATTGGGAGCTGCTACCATTCCACTGTGGGAATTCATCACGGTGGCCTGCTAGCACACGCCGGCTATCGCGTCATCGGCGACGCGTCACGCGGTATTTGAGGCTAACGAAGCGGTGCCAAAAAACACCGAAACGCAGCAGGGCGCTAATTTGCGTGGGAAATTGCCAAACCGCGTCAACCTGTTGCGCCGCCATCCACATTTAAGCATCGGCCACGGCGCCGTGGCCTCCGCCGGGCGTCAGGGCGTGCGCTCAGTAACGGTGCCTCTTCGGAGGGAACCACACGCCAATTTAAACACCGCTCACCAGGATTGTTTCATTTCATTCTCATCGGGCACGCGTGGTGTAAAGTGCAGCCTCACAACTCTATCCGCACGTGCCCCCCCCTCTGGCATGTCTTGTGCGCTTGTGAGGAATGGCCAATGCCTGCAACGATGCCTTGCTACGAGGTCGCACGCAGCATTGCTGACGAGAACGTGTCGAGTTTTTTTTGTTTGTTCCGCGGAGGTGGGGTTTTGTGAAACTGCTGGTCGGCAGCACCTTGGCAGCAGGGTACATGGCACTCGTACACGTTCAAAGCGTTGTCGTTTGCATGTCTTACCACAAGCATGTGTGTGGCTGGTGCACTCTTGACGCCTTGCGACAGGTGTCTATTTGGTGTTTTAACATCGCCGGCGGCAACCTAGGGCTGGCAGTCAAGCGGGCACTGCGATTGACATCAACGCGCGCGGCTCTTCGCGCGTAGAATCGCACGCGATACGGCCACTGAACGGCGCGCACGCACGAGAGAAGCCGCCGCCGCTATTGACTCACGAATATATCAACCGGAAATCGTTATAGACTTAGGCCCATGGAGCACACAGACGGAGGCCCGGCGATAGGAACGGAACACACGAGGCAGACTGCACAAGCGAGAATACAAATCATGGAGGCCCCCAGTGGAGCAGCGGTTGTTCGACTGAATCGTGTGAATTCACCAAACTGCGGGAGAGGGCAGTGGTGACCGGTGGTGATGGGGTGCATCATGAATCACTGCAGGTCGACGTGACAGCAGCAGCACCAGCAGCAGCAACAGTGGCAGCAGCAACAGTGGCAGCAGCAACAGCAGTAGCAGCGACAGCAGCAGCAGCACCAACAGCAGCAGCAACAGCAGTAGCAGGAGCAACCGCATTAGCAACCGTGGCACCGAGGTGATTACTGACCGACTACAACTCCACACTCGGGGCACACCATGTCCCCTGCGCGGTAATCTTCAATCAACACCGCCTCCGGGTGGTACGGACAGTGAATGCTGCACACACACACATACAAACAGACGTGCAGAGACACGCAGAGTCATGAAGACACATGCATGCACAGACAAAATAGATGCACAGAGAAACATGCATGCATAGACAAGCATACAAGGACAGACACAAGAATGGGGGGGACACGCACGTTAAAGCTCATATAATATCGTGGTAAACATTGTAAGTGAGCAACTATTAAGGCTGACGTGGCACACAATGAGGCGGTTTGGTCAGCAGAATGCCCAACCACCTTCATCTCCCTAAGTGCCGAAGCTCAGCCAATGTTTCAGGTACTCATTCATGTCCGGGGCGATCTGGAGGAGGTCCAGGACAGATTCACTCTCACACACGCATGAGCACATACAACGCGCAGCAAATACACACGTGTATTATGTACGTTGTGGTTTACAGCGGCTGCACAAGCAATCAGGCCAATTTGCCCCTTGTGCGCAGATTAACGATGGCTCTCCCGTCATCGCTTTACGGCTGTGGGGGGTTCTCTGGGCACTTTGATTTCCTGCCACTCAATAAAATACTCTGAAAAGATTCGGCCAATCATACCAATCAGCCCCCCCACCTAACACAAACCGCGCCCCTCCCCCCACCTCAAAAAACACAAGTCTCGGGACTGGGTAAATCTGTCAGCAATGAATAACATTGATAGTTTAAACCAGCCGAAGGTGTTGGAAGCGTTAATTGGAATCTACGCGTCCGTACATGCCTGGGTGTAATGGTACAAAGAAAAAAATCAAATCCCATTTCGAGCTTTAATACCAGCTGCCAGTTCCAGTTATTTTAGTGTTTGAGAAAAACCTGTGGGAGCTCGAAATTTTCCACGCCATGCAGCAAACGCAATTTTTATCTCATTTCATCAGCCGCCGCTGAAGTGAACCGAGCCGCCGAAAGCCACTCCATTAAGGGAGCCTCTCTGTTTCGTTGGAGGCGAGGGTTCGGGGGTTGTTGGGGAAAAAAGAGATTTGCCAGTACAGAAAAAATTCAACGGAACCATGGAACCGCACACGCACGTGTCAGACGCAACGCCGCCCACACACCGACACGCGGGCGCTAGTTCGCAGCGTGACGTTACGACTAAAAAAAACCTCAAAAATATCCTTAACGGTTTTCTTCCATTAAGGATCTTCACGCCAGTGTGGCCCAGAAAACGTTACAAATCTAGGCTTCGGTTAAGCGCAGAGTTTCACGGCCGGCTTGTGGGCTCCGCAGCGTTCACGGGAACGTGCGGAGAGGGGTCCCTCCTTGGAAGAACAGATGCAGTTTTGTTAGTGCATCATCTGCAAATTTAAAAAAATTCAACGTTTGCGGCCCTGCTATTGCTCGCTGGCGCCAATGCTGGCAGTAAACTAAACTATTTTAATTTGACCAAATAAGGCCCACCGAGCGATATACATCCCTTTTTTTAGAAACGACCTGGCTATCACAAATGATAGCGCAATGAAGTGGCTTGTTATGAAGACATTTATAGCGGTCAAATCATAAAATCTAAATGCATGTTCCTGAATTTGGAGGGAAAAACCGGAGGACTGGGAGAAAAATCCAGAACATGCAAACTCCAAATATACAGGCGTCACAGGGGTTGGGATCAAACCCACGACCTCCTGTATTCCAGGTGAGTAGAATTAACATCCCGCCACCGTGGCAACCTTCACCACTAGAAGGAGCTCTAGACAGCCCCTCCAGAGGGTATATTTGGCCTACTCTTCCATGTGGGCCAGTAGTCCTGGAATAGGTGTGAGTACCGACACTTTGCAAGCGATGAGCCACTTTGTTGAGCTTCGAAAAAAATAGTTAATACCTCAGTGGGCTTTACCTGGCAAGATAAAAAAAATAATTTAGTTGTATTTGTATATTTTTGTCAAGTGGTTTGTTAACCTTTCCTAAACTCTGCACTCCTACAGAGTTTTTGGCATTGATTGGTCATCTGTGAAAGAGCTTTATAGATCATCGAATTCCTCCATTGTAAATAAATATTTTTAAACTCTGATTCTTTACTCAACTGCACGCAAAATGCCGACCGGCTGGGTGGATAGAGGCAGTGGCGGCAGGGATTTAAGAGACTCGCACCATTGTTACAACCGTCGTGCCAGGAAATCGAAACCGGCGACCTCTGGAATGCAAGTCCGGTGTGCTGACCATTTCACCACGGCAGTGTGCCCGGCGGTATACAACGCGCATCAATATAAAACACAAATATGTATGTAAGCACGCGATTCGACGCAACAGCCTGATGCGGCGCCACACCCCTTATCACGCCGAGTTGATTAAAGGAGCCTCACCAGCGGAGACGACGATTGTAATAATTTATACTTTGTAACGAGCTGCTCGAGGAGGGGATCTCCGCTCCCGAAGACAGAGGACGACTCAAGAGGCGCAAGGAGGAACCACAGGCGACAGCGGGACGAGGCAGTGGCCACATCCCCCCAGCTCTGGCGTCTTCTTTGTACAAAGGTGTTATCGGCCAACTGACGAGCATTTACGCGCGGCAAACTGGAGCGCCCCGGAGATGAGGGGGCATCCTGCGCTTGGTGGAGATGGGAGAGCAGCCTAACTTTCGACTTTCCTCGGTCAAGCAGCGCCACGATAAACCGGCGGGCGGAGCCAACACTCGTGAAGTTACCGAGGGCAACCGAGCCAGAAGCTTGGGTCTCCAGAGGACAGGTGGCTCAAGACAAATGTGGTGAGGCCGACGCCTCATACGCTACTAACCCAGCAATTCGAATTTGATTCATGACCGTGGTTAAAAGCAGTGGCGAGTGATATCCGAACCCCGTGATTGCCACGGTGTGCGGGGGCCTGAATCCAGCAGTGTTGACAATGGGATGTCAATGATTACCATCACCATTATTTTTATGATCACTGTCATGTTAGTCTTCACTGCGCGAACCCTGAAATGACTCAATTTCGTGAACCCAAATGACTAAGCAGTGAAACCGCTCGGAATATAAGAGGCTCAAACCCTCGACAATTTTTGCTCGTCGCTCCTTACTTCCTCTTTCAGGGGCAAGTGCTGTTAGCGAGCACCTATGAAGGCCGGAACGGTACACGAGGGGGTGGGTGGCCAGCACCACGCCCGACCGCCTTTGTCTCCCCAGTGGCGATGTTTACACACCGCACCAGGTACTCATTTGAGGATGAGTCGACCTCGGGGAGGCCCGGGACCGGTTCAGATAATCGTCACTGGTGTTGGCCGTGAGCGGGAATCGAACCCGGGTCGCCGGGTTCATAGCGCAGCGCGCTAACCGCTACACTATCGCACACACACACACACACACGTGGGCGAGAGCCACACGCGTCGCTGCAAAAGTTCCAATGCGCTCCACCCCTAGCGAGAGCAGGACCCGTGAAGCTCAAACAGCACACACGAGGGGGTGATGTAGCCAGCAGCCGTGCCCGGCCACCTTTTTCTCCCCATCGATGATTGTTTTACGCACTGTGCCGGATACTTGCGTAATGCCGAATCGACCTAGGGGAGGCCCAGGATCAGTGTGTGGATGTGCGTCACCGATGTTGGTTGTGAGCGGGGAATCAAATTCGGGTCGCCGGGTTCATAGAGCATTGTGCTAAACCACTGTGCCACTGCTCCCTACTGAAAAAAAAAAAGATAAAGATCTACTGGATAGCCTTAACAACAGACTGTTGAGGCAAGTGCTGCTAGCGAGTACCTATGAAAGCTGGCACGGCACTAGAAAAAGGTGGCTGGCCAGGACAACGCCCAGTTGCCTGTGAATCCCAAGAGCCGATGTTGTACCAGGTACTCCTTTAAGGCCAAGTCGACCTCAGGGAGATCCAGCAATGGTTCGGACATTCGTCCCCAATGTTGGCCGTGAATTTAACTCGTTTCCGGGTTCGCAGCATAACGCGCTCACCGCTGCGCCACTACTCCCCACTGTGCGTACACACACGGGACGCACACACACACACGTGGTTACTCAGCCACAAAGAAAACACGTATCCATCACACCGTCAAGGAGGACAGGTTACATTTGCAGAGTGCGGATTCACAAGAAGTGATGCAACAGGCTGTCCTGACACGAACAGCAGCGAGTGACTGTGGTGATGATGCAGAGTTTATTTCTGTACACAGCTTCATCAACATCATCGATGACCCAAGACTTTAATTGTTGCCTAGAAGAGCCCTTTGTCCACTCTGCAAAATCACTTGGGAGCTTACAGCTCAGGCCCCCTATTATATCGACACGAGAGAAATTGCTTTCCTCTCCACTGCGAGTGATTCTTCAGCACTGTCGCCATGTGGAAGGCACTGGGAGCCAGGTCTAAGTGAGTGCGAGTATTCCCTTCTTGAAAGTGTCTAGCGTTCAATCGCCCCTCACAATGTGAAATAACTCGACACACTCATCAATAACACTGTGGCCTTAAATGATATGTGACGTTTCGGGCAATGGCCCTTATTCATAGCACATTAATAGAGAGGGCCAGAGAGAGTGAATAATGAGCAGTGAAGACTGCACGACACACATGGGGCCTGATAATTTAATACAAAAAAATTCTGATGACCGGTTCTTGAATTGCTATACGAGTTAATGAGTAACAGACAAACCCTTAAATTATCAAAATGTATCACTACTAAATAAACTCATTGATATTACAAGTACAAGCATTAAATGTTGCTGGCACATTGCATGGTGGGAAGATCTGGTCCCGTGAGAACAAGGCCCAATCCACCTAAACATAATTTCAGGTGGAATCTTAACAATTGTAAACTTGTTACTACACAGGTCGAGCTCAGATCAACATATAACCTAAAACATTGGTGCGCAAACTCCAGCAAATTGCAGACTTTAGTTGGCGGTCAACGTTCAAAGTGGACTGCCACCCTCTCAAAGGAACAGCGCTGCCCCCTTAGTTACCCCCCTGCCCCGTGACCTGTGGATCAAACGAATCACTCGAGACACTGGTATGGCAGCAAGAGCAGTTTACGCAAATGCTGTCGCAAGAGATAACACGTTTAGGCGCAATGGTCCTTCGCTGACTATGCGCGGTTAATTAATATTAAAAAAACCCCACACAAGTCTGGAGGAAACCATCAACGGAAAACCCAGCGACACGACCCACTTAACCCGGGCTCCCAGTGCCACGCGACTCTCCAACAGGGCGAGCCGTCACTCGCGCGGTGAAATCAATTTTTCGAGCGACGACGATTTCACGCGAACTGCGAGTGAGCCCGCATGTGGAGCGGTAAGAGCGGTGTCTCTCTCCCCCTGGAGGTGGTTAAAACCTCGGGACACCGACGATGACAATGACGGAACGAGCGCAGCCGCACCCCCTCTGAAGATTCACGGTAGAGCGCACAACAGCTCCGTCGCAACAACTACTCTGTGTCAGCGCACACAGGCATTTCATTCTACCCTGGTCGTGTGTAAAGTTTGGATCGTCCTGCGAGTCCCCCAGAGTGTTTGCTCTGTATACAGCGGAAGGTCGCCGTGACTCTTGATGGCGCTTGTGACCGCCTTATTCAGCCAGTTGCCAAAATGCGACGATTTCCTCCCCCCCCCACTCTCTCTAAAATATGTGACACCACTTATTCACAGGCAGTGGTAACTAACTCCCCGCTCGAAGGGACACAGGAGCAGGGCTCAACTCAACTGGCAGCCACTGAGGCAGTGGTGGAAATTCCGCATTGTCATGGCAAGGACCAATCTGTTTACACCCGCTACTCTGGTTAGCACTGCACGATGCGAAATAAGTTCAACATACATACATACTTGACGATGCCCGACTGCCAACACAAGCGGCCGCTCCTTCTATAAACTCCAGAGCAAGGGCTTCGAGCAAGGGCTTCTAGCTCTAGCTCGTGCCTGCGACTCACAGATGAGTCACTGAAAAAACAATATCATTAAACAAACACGAAAGGGAACCACCTGCAACCAAGTCACCCGTCTCGTCGAATCGCGGAGGCCAAGCGGGATGAGCGTGGATAGTGAAGGCCGTGTGATGGTGCTAGGATGGGTGACCACCACACAACAGGTCGCTACAGGCTGTGGGCCCTACGTCGTAGGCAACCGGGGGCAGCGCAGTGCGGCAACACAATTTTTTGCACTCAACTACCACGCTCTCACGCCTCTGTCCCCCCACTTTCGCTATCCGTACTGTTGAAGTATGGTCAAGCGATACGTAGGGGGAGGCCCTCATTTAGCAGTAGTCGGAGGACAATAGGGCTGCACAGAGATCATTGATGTCGATTTTCCCGTGCGTGATGGACCGTTTGTTATCAAAATCCTTCATAAAAAAAATGTTTTTACCGATATACGGATAAAGAAATTAGCTTTAAAACACGAACCTGATGGATAAAAAAATAGAAACGTTTGTGGATTAATTATTATTGTCCCAAGTCAATTTATTATAATGGATGTATTATAATAAATGTGCTTCACACAATGCAAAAGAACCGAAACAGTGGGGCACTCACGCCGATTACGACTTGGGTCATCGAGGTGACGGCAGTCGACTTTGCCGGCTCCGAAGGGTTTGTGGTTCACATCCCGATTCTCATCGCCGTAGGACGCCGGAGGCTCGGCGCCCAGGCACTTCCCCAACTTATGCTACCTGCCCGTGCGATGACAGAGATATCGGAGAGCTTCTCCATGAAACGGACAAAAAAGGGGGGCGATGGCCAGTGGTCGCGGTCGAGACCAGGCGGCACCCTGTGCGTTTACTGCGGTTACTATTGTGATGTATTCGTATTACGCCTTTCTCTCTGGCCTACGTGCTGCTGTGCAAAGGGGGCATTTGAGAGTACAGTGAAACCTTGGATTGCGAGTCACTTGGTCTGCGAGTGTTTTGCAAGACGAGCAACATTTATTGAAAATAAATATTAATTTGATAAACGAGCGAGGTCTTGCAATACGAGTAGTGTACGTATACGCTTTGTCTGCCGAGCGTCACGTGATCACAACTGATGTACGAGTGCTTTGGATTACAAACACGTTTCTGGAAGGAATAATGCTCGCAATCCAAGGTTTTACTGTATTTTGGCTGCTACATTTGCAAGTGATAAGCCACTTCGTTGAGCTAGAATTTGTGGCCAGGTCGCTTCTGAAAAAAGAGCTACATAGCTCAGCGGACCTTACCTGGTAAAATAAAAATAGTAAATAAAAAAGAGTGAAATAGTAATTGCCCAAAACGTCGCCTATTATATACATTTTAGTTTAAGGCCACACTGTATTATTGACAAATGTGTTGAGTTTGTTTGGTTATCTGTGGTCGTGTACCACTGCCAATGCCGTATAACCACAATTTATTAATATCAGGTTACCTTAACGACCAGGTGAGCTCAGTGAGGTCAAGAGGGCTCTGTTTTTAATCAAGGGAGACCTGGATTTCATTAAGTATGATTAAAAACATCATAGATACAGAGAAAACACTTACAGACCCATGTCATTGGAAACATATAGTGACCCACAGATTTAGAGAACCATTCACATACATAGTGACCTAGAAACTCACATAGATAATAACAAATAAACAGACACCCATGCTTAGAGACCCGTAGACTTAGAGAAACCATCACATAAAAATATAGAACTTCAGACTTAAATGATGACCCCCAGACCTATACAGACTTACATGGACCCATATATGTGAAGACAATGACCCAAGCATCAAAGAACACAGATATCCAGTTAAAGACATAACATAACAACCGCCACCACATACATAAGAAACCCACAGACTAGGCGCAGACTCAAACACCTACAAAGACCCATATATTTACATAAATACCCACAGATTTATAATGAAGACACACATACACCCAGTTACCAAGAGACCCACAGAATTAAGACACCCACACAGACCCATAGAATTGCATAAACCCAGATACTTAAGAGACCCACAAACTTACACAGAGAAGCATACACACACAGCCACCCAGAGTTTAGACTTATATAGAGACTCACAGACTTACATAGAGACCCGCAGACATATACACAGACCTACAGGTGCGATGACCTCATATCGATGAATCATCTCATCTGATGACCTCTATATGACCAGAGTTGAGACCAGAAATTATATTTCTTCATGGGGAGGCCCGGGTTATAACAATGAGGACAGAGTAACAGCGGCAAGGTTCAAGGTTGTTGACAAAACAACACAACGTGCTGCAGATCCTCCTCGTGTCCTGCCACCACCGTGACCGTGTTTGTTTATCCAACGCAGTGACCGTTTACGAAAACAGCTTAGGCCATAATTAAGATGAGCACACCATTTTTTATTCAACACGGTAATTAACAACAATGAAGAACGGCATGATGAGCGCAAGGTAAGAGCATCGCCGCGCACGTGAAAATGACACGGGAGGTGTAATGGCACGTTGATAACGAGGCTGCTTTATTGGGATGATGGGGGTCTCGGCTAGGGGTCGTCAAAGACTCCACAATGCGTGACGGCGGTGTGAGGTGGGGGGTTGGGAGGGGGGGGCAAAGGGGGACGAGGTGAGGAGGTACCGGCGGACACGTCAGGCGAGGAGGCACGGAGAGACGAAGTGAGGTGACACGTGGAGGACGAGGCGAGGAGATGATGAGTGGTGAGGAGACGCGGAGAGACGAGGTGAGGCGAGGAGATGATTAGTGGTGAGACGAGGTGAGGATACACGTAGACACGTGGTGAGGGGACACGGAGACACGAGGTGAGGAGACACGAGGTGAGGAGACACGGAGGGACGAGGTGAGGAGACACGGGGTGAGGAGACACGGAGACACGAGGTGAGGAGACACGGAGACACGGGGTGAGGAGACACGGGGTGAGGAGACACGGGGTGAGGAGACACGGGGTGAGGAGACACGGGGTGAGGAGACACGGGGTGAGGAGACACGGGGTGAAGAGACACGGGGACACGAGACACGGGGTGAGGAGACACGGAGGGACGAGACACGGGGTGAGGAGACACGGAGGGACGAGGTGAGGAGACACGGGGTGAGGAGACACGGGGTGAGGAGACACGGGGTGAGGAGACACGTTGTGAGGAGACACGGGGTGAGGAGACACGGGGTGAGGAGACACGGAGGGACGAGGTGAGGAGACACGGGGTGAGGAGACACGGGGTGAGGAGGCATGGAGGGCCGAGGTGAGGAGACACGGGGTGAGGAGGCATGGAGGGCCGAGGTGAGGAGACACGGAGGGACGAGGTGAGGCACGGAGGGCCGAGGTGAGGAACGGAGGGACGAGGTGACGCAGGATACGAGGTGAGGAGACGATGAGTGGTGAGAAGACACGAAGAGACGAGGTGAGGAGACACGGAGAGACGAGGTGACGCAGGAGACGAGGTGAGGAGGCACGGCGATACGGGAGACTCGGTGACGAGCAGCATGAGACACAGGAGACGTGGGGAGCGGAGACGGCGGTTAGATGAGGAGGTGGGTAAGGACATGACGAGAAGGTAGTGGTGAGGATGAGGTGGTGAGGACGTGACGATGAGGTGAGGTTGCGGAACTCACCGGTTACCGGACGCCATTGTGTGCGCGGTCTCGGGAAGCGCACCGCGATTGGCCGAGTTCACGTCTGACGTCACGTCCACGTGGCGCAGGTCGAGCCAATCGTCGTGGAGACGGGCGGGGAGGATACACACGTGGTTGCGCGGTGGTGGGTGGGGGGGGTGGGAGGAGCGGTGGGACAGCGGTTAGCGCAGCCGATTCCCGGCTAACGTCAGTGGTCAAATCTGAACCGGTCTGCTGAAGCCCCTGGCCCCACTAGGTCGACTAAGCCTTAGATCAGTGGTTCTTAAACCTTTACTGCAGACTTGTGCACCCCCTTTGGTGCTCAGAAAAGGGCACCTGGCACCCCCAGTGGGTGCGAGGTGCACCCCGGGTTAAGAATCGCTGCCTTCGATGAATAACATCTCGTGCGTGGGAAGCGCTTTGCACTGGGGGGGAGACAAAGGCGGCCGGGCGTGGTCCTGGCCACACCACCGACTCGGGCCATTCATGGGTGCTGTTACCTCGTTGATAGCAAACGCCCCAACAGTCTGTTAGGAGCCGTCCATAAATGACGTCACGCACCTAGGTGCGGGGGGGTCAGACATTTGTGACGATGTGTGACGAGGAGGGGGGGTTTGAGAAATGTGACGTCATGTTAAAATGCGCAACTTTAATATAGACAACACGTTCTACTTATATTCTTGTTTCTTTCGGTAAAGTCACGTAGAAGGGAAACAATAAAATAATAAAAATACATAAAAAATATAAATATATATAATATATAAATATATAATATGTAAATATATACGTGACTTTACCGAAAGAACCAAGAATATTAATCCCTGCAGTCACGAAAGCTTTAAATCAAAACGTTCTACTTAATTAAATATACTTTAAAAAAATGTTTTCTCCTACAACATCAGAGTGCAGCGCCACATTAAATACGCACAACAATGACAATAGTTTAAAGCGATTTCAAAGCTTGTTAATTTTTTTTTGGGGGGGGGCAGAGCTTTGTGACGTCATATTTGAGGGGAGGGGGTCTGACTTTTTGTGACGCCGTGTGACTGGGGGGGTAAAAAAATCGTCCAAAATCGCGTGACGTCATTTATGGACGGCCCCTTAGGAGAGTACAGTGGGTAAATAACCCACAGATCGTCGTCAAAGACGTTCGTCAATAACACCGTGGCCTTAAACAGAAAACGTTTACAATAGGCGACGTTTCTGTCAATGGCAAAGACCACCCGTGTAGCTTGTAACAGACTGTAGGGGCAAGTGCTGTTAGCGAGCACCTATGAAGGCTACCGGCACGGTACACGAGGGGGTGGGTGGCCAGCAACCACGCCCGGCCGCCTTTGTCTCCCCAGTGGCGATGTTTACACACCGCACCAGGTACTCATTTGAGGCTGAGTCGACCTAGGGGAAGCCCAGGACCGGATCAGATAATCGGTATTGGTGTTGACCGGGAGCGGGAATCAAACCCGGGTCGTCAGATTCGTAGCGGAGCGCGCTAACCACTACACGACCGCTCCCCACAATGGCACACACACACACTCACCATTACATTCTAAACACACTCGCCATCACTCACCGTCTCACCCTCTCTCAAACTCTGAAAGTTCAACATACGTTACATGCACACTCATGGGTCATTGCCCGGAACGTCGCCCATTACAGCACTGCATATGTTTTATTTTTAAGGCCACTGTTATTGACGGGACGAATTGAGTCCTTTCGCTAACACTCCTCGTCCGTTTGCATCACTGCTAGCGCAACAGCGGGGGGAAAAAGAGCTTTATAGCTCATCGAATTCCTCCAGTATCAATAATCTGACATCGACCAGGCAGTGTTTGTCCCACCCAGAGCGAGAACATATCCGAGTCTTGATTTCTCCCCTGGGTAAGCAACTCTGTGAACTCACGTTCGGAATAACCCATCAGCAAACCCCACTCCCTATTGTGCGCTCATCTTTAGAAGTTACACGGGTGGTCCAGATGTCCTGTGATCCCCCCCTCCCCCCATTTAATTATCTACAACTTAATTATATACACGTTTAAAAAAGTACGGTTTATTGAAAACAGAATTTAATCAGCGAAGGGGGAGTACAAAAGTTAGGGCCACAAGTAACTGGGGGGGGGGGGGGGGGGGGGGTCACAAGACATCTGGAACACCGTGCAGGATTAAAATCTTTAGTACGGAAGCCGACGGGTAGCTGCCAGGAATAAAAAAAACGCGTTTGCATATTAGCACACTGTAGTCATCTTAAACTAAGCAATTAAAATGTGAACCAGGTAAGGCCCACTGAGCTACATAGCTCTTCTTTCAGAAGCGACCTGGCTATCAACGAAGTGGCTTATCACGTGCAAATGTATAGCAGCAGACGAATTCTCTTTAAATGTGGAGGGGGAAGAAAAACCATAAAGGGGCCGGCGAAAAATCCACGCGACCACGGGGAGAACACGCAAGCTCCAAATATACAGCTGCAGACTTCAGGATCGAACTCCTGTTATTACCAGTCGAGGTAGTTAACGTCTCGCCACTGCGGCGAGATGAGTCATGATGGGCTAACGCTTTGATCGATGGGCCCGCTGTTGTCCCAGCAAAGTCCGCAAGCGAAACTGAACGTCGCGCTCGAATGTGTGATTGGAACGGTTGGGGGCTCAACGAATAATCGAAGTTGGCAATGTGTGGTTGGAACGGTTGGGTCACTCTAACTGGGCTAAAATTTAACAGCACGCAAATAATGACGCAACTTATAACGCGCACAACAACAGTTCACGGACATTAAAGACTGAATAGCGGCAGCCAAACTCCCGTGTCGCAGGACAGCCCAGGGGAAAGAGGCGGAGTCATTAAGAAAGAGGCGGGGCTTCTCGGAAAGAGGCGGAGCCTCTAAGAAAGAGGCGATGCCTTAAAGAAAGAGGCGGAGCCTCTAAGAAAGAGGCGGGCCATTAAGTCAGAGGTGGGGCCTCTCAGAAAGAGGCGGGGCCTTTAAGAAAGAGGCGGATCCTCTAAGAAATGCAGCACATTAAGAAAGAGGCGGGGCCTTTCAGAAAGAATGGGGGCCTTTATAAAAGAGGCGGAGCCTCTGAGAAAGAGGCGGGCCATTAAGAAAGAGGCGGGGCTCTAAAATGAGGCGAGGCCTTTAAGAAAGAGGCGGGGCCTCTCAGAAAGAATGGGGGCCTTTAAGAAAGAGGCGGGCCATTAAGAAAGAGGCGGGGCCTCTCAGAAAGATGTGGCGCCTTTAAGAAAGAGGTGGGGCCTTAAAGTGTCTCTGAAGAGTCGGTGTGGATGGTAGGCTGATGCTGCTGCTGTGATTTACGCAACAGCAGCGGGGTGATGCTGCTGCTGATGAGAAATGACCTCCGGCAATGGCCACGGTTCCTCCCGCACGTTGATGTAGAGAGGTGCTGAGAGTTCCACAGCTTGAGCTGTAGCGCAGGGCGACAGCAGCGAGGAGAAGACAAGGCGGTGGACGGCCGAGGATTGAGGGCCCCACATTGGCGAGATGTTAACTACCTCGCCTGGTGTACAGGAGGTCGTGGGTTCGATCCCGACCCTGACGCCTGCTGCTGTATATTTGGAGTTTGCGTGTCTCTCTCTCATCATCACGGTGGCTAGGAGATGTTAACTACCTCGCCTGGTGTACAGGAGGTCGTGGGTTCGATCTTGACCCTGACGCCTGCTGTTGTATATTTGGAGTTTGCGTGTCTCTCTCTCTCTCTCATCATCATCACGGTGGCTAGGAGATGTTAACTACCTCGCCTTGTGTACAGGAGGTCGTGGGTTCGATCCCGACCCTGACGCCTGCTGCTGTATATTTGGAGTCTGCGTCTCTCTCATCATCATCACGGTGGCTAGGAGATGTTAACTACCTCGCCTGGTGTACAGGAGGTCATGGGTTTGATCCCGACCCTGACAATGCCTGCTGCTGTATATTTGGAGTTTGCGTGTCTCTCTTTCCCCGTAGTCGCGTGGACTTTTCTCCGGGTCCTTCGGGGGGCTTTTTCCCCTCCACATTTAGAATCAACAGCGCACGCGTTTAGAGTATTTGCCTGCTATACATTTACACGTGATGAGCCGCTTTTTTGAGCTATCATTTGTGATGGCCAGGCCGCTTCTGTAAAAAGAGCTACATAGCTCAATGGTCCTTACCCGGTGAAACAAAAATACTGTCGTGTATAATTTGATCTTTTAAAATCGGGGTCAAACTTAGGAGAAGTGGCGCTGGCGGCACAGGAGGCAGTTGCTATTTCATGTTCATGTTTTTTTGTTTGTTGCGGTTGCACCCGATTCAAGAGCCGAATGGCTCACAGGGCTATACCAAAAATAAATGAAACTATGAAACTATGAACTAAGTTGCTGGGCCCTACGGGCTGGCGATGGTGGGACGCCGGCACTGGGAGCGGAGGGAGGCGACGAATTCGAGGCGAGGACGACGCGTGAGAGGTGGATTTTGCGAACGCGGCGAGACGCGGCTGAGACGCGCGCTTCGTGGACAGACGCTCTCAGCCTCACGCGTCAATGCGAAACCACGTGTCGGGAAGAACTGCTCTGTGGAAATGTTTTTGTCTTTGACCACCACCGATCAGAATTTGAGAGAGAGTGCACGACCCCCACGTGTGCCGTTTGCCGCTTCCATAGGCGCTGCCCGCTAAGGACACTTGCCCCAAAGAGTCTCGTAAGGCTATAAACGGGGGGCATCTGTGCCTGCGTGCCTTTGAAGTGTCAGGGCCGTGTGCCGACCTAACAGACACCACGAGGGGGCGACACGCGGCCGCGTGCGGTCACTCGGCGGGTCCCCGCTCACGGCCAACATTGGATATGCATGTATGAACCGGTCCTGGGCCTCCCCTCGGTCGACTCAGCCTTAAACGAGTACCTATCGCGGTGTGTAAAATATAATCACTTGATAGATAAAGGTTGGCCTGGCGTGGTGCTGACTACCAACCCCCCCCCCCCCCCGCCCCCCTAGTCGCCCTGCCGGCCTTCATAAGTGATACTCGATAACAGCACTTGCCCCAACAGTCTGTTTCGGCTATAGGGGGCATCTTCATCTTCCGCACTGGTTTGGGGGGGGGGGGTAGTGTCGTGGTTAGCGCACGACGCTACGAACCCGGTGAACCGAGTTCGATTCTCGCTGACAGCCAACATCGGTGACGAATATCGAAACAGGTTCTGAGCCTTCCCTAGGTCGACTCCGCCTTAAATGAGTACCTATCAAGGGTGTTATAAATTGGGGAGTCAAAGGCGGCCGGGCGTGCAGTTGTTCACCAACCCTCCTCGTGCACCATTCTGGCCTGAATAGGTGCTGGCCTACAGCACTTGCCCCAACAGTCTGTGAAGGCTACACGGGGGATATTTGTCTCGATGATGGCGTGTTCACGTGCAATGCATTGCAGGTGTGTATGGAAACACGCCGAGATTAAACGGGATTGTATTCTTAGGGGAGAGACACATAACATCTGTAAGTAATCATGTCGCAATGAAGAAGAGTCATTGCCCGAAACGTTGTCTATCGTGTACTTTTTGGGGGGGCACGGGAGGGGGGGGGGGCGCACACAGGGCTGTCATTATTGAGGAATGTGTTCACTTTTGTTATTTTGAAATACTGTACGTGATTATCGCGCACCACATATCGCACGGTGTATCGCAATATATCGCACGGTATAATATCGCGATATATCGCACGGTATGATATCGCGATATATCGCACGGTATAATATCGCGATATATCGCACGGTATAATATCGCGATATTGCGCCATGGGACTCGGCGCACGCCCTTCACCAAGCTGCCCTTCACCCAGCTGCCTCCCTTCTCAGCTGCCCCTCCCAGCTGCCTTTCCCTTTCGGCTGCCCCCCTTCCAGCTGCCCCCGCTCATCTCCCCCCTGACCCCCCCCCTCCCATCGCTCCGTCCCCGCGCTCATGCGCGCCTAATAGCTATTAACTCGGGATGCGGCTTCTCAATTAAACTCCATGGATTTCCGCTAAATCCCCCACGCGGCTCATTTACTGCGCGGTCAGTGGGACCACAGCAACACTCGCTGGGAGACACGGGGGGGGGGCACGGGGGAGACACGGGGGGGGCACGGGGGAGACACGGGGGGCACGGAGGAGACACGGGGGGGGCACGGAGGAGACACGGGTAGGGGCACGGGGGAGACACGGGGGTGGGGGCACGGAGGAGACACGGGGGGCACGGGAGAGACACGGGGGGGCACGGGGGAGACACGGGGGGGCACGGAGGAGACACGGGGGGGTCACGGGGGAGACACGGGGGGGGGCACGGGGGAGACACGGGTGGGGGGCACAGAGGAGACACGCGAGGGGTACAGGGGAGAGACAAGGAGACACGTGGGAGACACGCGGGGGGGGGGGGGGGGGGGGGGGCACAAGGGAGACACGGGGAGACACGGGGAGACAAGGGAGAAGACATGCGGGGGAGAGACAGGGGGAGACACGACGAGACACATGGGGACACACACGGAGAGGCACAGGGAGACACACACCGGCACACATCGAGAGACACACACGCAGACAACAACAAAAAAAGACGAATCCACCGCGTAATGTGAACAGACTGTTGGGGCCAAGTGCTGTTAGCGAGCACCTATGAAGGCCGGCACGGCGCTAAGAGGGACCGGCAACAGTTCAGGTAATCGTCACTGGTGTCGGCCGTGAGCGGGACTCGAACTCGGGTTCGGAGCGCAGTGCCGCTGACCGCTACGCTACCGCTCCCGGCACCGACACGTGCACAGACACGCACACGCGCAGACACACACAATGGACACACAGATTGTACCCGCAGACACAGGCCGCGCACACATGGCTGCACATGCATGAGCTGGAGTCATATAGGATTACACACGCGCGTGCACGCGGGCACAAAGGCAAAGATCACCCCTGTAGCCTCCACAGGGCTGTTGGGGCAAGTGCGTTTAGCGAGGACCCATGAAGACCGGCACGGCACACGAGGTGGTGGTGGTGTGGCCAGCAGCACGCCCGGACGCATTTTACCAGGTACTCATTTGAGGCTGAGTCGACCTAGGGGAGACCCCGGACCGGCTCAGATACTCGTCACCGGCGTCGGCCGTGAGTGGGAATTTCAACTCGGGTCGTCGGGTTCGTGGCGCAGTGCACCAACCGCTCCGACTATCGCTCCCTAGAACCACAGACACCACAGACACCACAGGCACCACACACAGACACCACAGACACCACAGACACCACAGGCACGACACACAGACACCACAGACACCACAGACACCACAGACAGACACCACAGACACCACAGGCACCACACACAGACACCACAGACACACACAGACACCACAGACACCACAGACACCACACACAGACACCACAGACACCACAGACACAGACACCACAGACACCACAGACACCACAGCCACCACAGACATTACACACAGCCACCACAGACACCACAGACACCACACACAGACACCACAGACACCACAGACACCACAGACACACGCAGACACCACAAACACCACAGACACCACAGACAAACACAGACACACGCAGACACCACAGACACCACAGCCACCACAGACACCACAGCCACCACAGACACCACAGACACACACAGACACACGCAGACACCACAGACACACGCAGACACCACAGACACCACAGACACCACAGACACACACACAGGCACCACGGACACCACAGGCACCACACACAGACACCACGGACACCACAGGCACCACAGCCACCACAGACACCCGCAGACACACGCAGACACCACAGACACACGCAGACACCACAGGCACCACACACAGAC